GAAGCGCGGGCACCGTGCAGAGGCTGCCGAGGGCTGAGGACAAACCTCCGCTCCCTTCACCTGCTCCCATCAGCTGGCTGGGCAGCCTCGAGCTACAGCACAGCACGGCTCGGCCACGGGGCATGCTGAGCACAGAGAGGGGAGCAGGAGACTGGAGCCCTTTGCCAGCAGCACGGCTGCACATCCAGGTGCATCACTTGGATGGCCTCAGACCTGGTGAAGTTACGCAAACACTTGCAGATGGTTGGCACTGGAGAACTGTTGGAACAAAAGCACAAGCAGCCCCGATGAGCGCACCAGCCGATATCAGCAACACCCATCCTGACAGGGCCACCCCTCTCCCACGTGTGTCCCTGTTCCCAGCCACCTTGTTCACATTCCTGGGGTCAAACCCTGAGCCCTCACTCACCCCATCCCCTGGGAAGCCACAGGCTCAGTAGATGGTTGGCACTGGAGAACTGTTGGAACAAAAGCACAAGCAGCCCCGATGAGCGCACCAGCCGATATCAGCAACACCCATCCTGACAGGGCCACCCCTCTCCCACGTGTGTCCCTGTTCCCAGCCACCTTGTTCACATTCCTGGGGTCAAACCCTGAGCCCTCACTCACCCCATCCCCTGGGAAGCCACAGGCTCAGTCACACCCAGACCTACATTATGGCAGCACCTTGAGTCCTCCACCTTCTCCATCGCTCCCCAGCTGCCCAGGTGAATTCCAGTCAGTGGTGAGAGCAACCAGCAGCAGTAGATGTGACCCAGAGAGTTTGTCAGTGTTTAAAGCCCCAACATTTCCCAGTGGAAGAACAGATCAGAGGTATAGAAAATGCACATGCCTGGAGAACTGCATGTAAGAAGTTGCTTTTCTCAGTGACATTTTACAGACTCCTTGAAACAGATTACAGATCTACAGGAGTCCATGGCATAACCAGTACGCAACTGGTTTGAACAGGTCACCCTGGGGGTGCCCATACAGAAACAAGAACGGCTGATCGTTGCTATTAGAGCTTTCTGAAAAGAGCAGCAAGGAGACAGCGCTGGGGCTTGAGCATCTGCGAGCAAGGATGTGCTGTGAACACTGCACACAGCTGCTCCCCAAGCCCAGCTGCAGCCAGGCTGACACGTGTCCCCTGCCACCTCCCCTGCCATGGCACCAGGTGCGGCTGCACTCACGACTTCTGGTGAGCAGGTGAAGGTCTGTGGCGGTAGCTGGATCAGGAGGGTCAGGGCTGCACTGAGAAAGTTCTGGTGTATCCCCAAGACCAGAAGCCTGTCCAGCAGCGGAGGCAGAGGGGAGGGGGACGAGTCATGGGGGATGATGCTGCCTCCCACGTGCTTCACTGCACCCTGAAAAGAGAGGTGACAATGAAGTTAAACTGATCCTTCCAAGCCATGAGGCACATCCAGATCCCCAAGACAGAGAGTGCAACAGGCCCACAGTCTCAGGGAGCCTCAGGATCCATTTGTAAACAGAGCAAAAGATGGCTTGGAGAAAAGTACACACAGTCACTTAGCGGTGATGGGGATAAGGATCTAAATATTTAGCCAGCATTTCCAGAACAAGTCATTAGCCCAGCTCCTCTGTGTGGTTGTACTGGAAGAAGATCATTGCTCCCACTGCTCAGTGTGAACAGTCTGAAGGCCACCAGGGTCCTGTCACCCAGCCTTAACTTACATCTAAATCCAAGCCGAGGGACAAGTCAGAGGTAAACGGGAGGCGGGCCAACTGGTAGTGGATGGTCCCTGCCGTAGCGACTGGGATCACAGCTTCATGGAGAAGAGCGATCGTTAGAACACCAGGAAATGAGCAGCAAGACAAAGTCCTCCCTGACCCCACAGGCCCCCAGCCAGACCTCACACCCACCACCAGGTCCCGAGCACGCGCTTCCATGAGATGCTTGTGCTCCTCAAACCAGCCAGAATATCCCCAAATTCAGCTTTGTGGGATCTGCCTTTTGGATACAGCCCCAAAAGAGCATCCGAGATGATCAGCTAAAGCCAAGGGCGATGTGTAACAGTGGCCAAGGTTCACTTGGACTGTTCAGGTGGGAATTCAAGGTTCAGCATCAGCCCTGCAGAATCACAGCTCCTCCCCGATGCATGGATGGACCGGGGGTGGGAAAGGGCACTTCCCACCACGGGATTGCCGGGAACGCAGGGAAGCAGCACCTCACCCTCCACCAGAAACACACCATTGAAAGTGCCCATGAGCTGGATGCTCACAAGCTTCATGACAATGTCGACCACTGGACACAGCTGCAACACAGAACACACAAACACAGCTGCTCAGCCCTGGTATTTTCTTGTGTTTCAGTCATGAAAGGAGGGCAACCTTCATGCTTACCAAAGTGGGCAGAGTGACTGTCAGCTGCTTAAGCACAATCTCATTTACTGACAGGGACAGTAAACTGGAAAGGAGACAAAAAAAAAATTAAAACATCTCCAATCAGTACAAACAGCTCTGGGACAGCAGACCAAAGGATCTCCAGCCTTCATCTTACACCCTGCTATGCCCTCAGCCATCCCCTCAGGGACACTGCTGCAGCTCATACTAGCAAGAGGGGCTGGGGAGGGAGCTGCTCGCCTCACCACGGGGAGAATTGCGCTAATTTCTGAGAATTGAAGGCTTCAGCACTTGGGGTGTGCAGACATCACTGCAGGAAAGGAGTGAACCTCTCGCAGTGTGACCTGGGCTTGGTTGGCTCCCTGAGGTATTGAAATCAGAGCTGTGGTTAAGGGAAGGTGGAGTAGGTACGAAGTATCTCCATGTTAGTTATGGGAAACAGTTTATACGTGGAACAGCAAGAGGAGAAATCTGCTGTGTGACATTTCAACACGGCAGCTAAATAGATCACCCTGGGATGGGTGATGCCTGCAGGCAGCGCAGAGCCATTTACTTTGATAATCAATATATTTCTGGACTATTGAGTTAGAACACACAGCAGCACACTC